TTTTATTATATTGAATATTTTGGCATTTTATGTGACCTTTAAATACCCTTTTGTAATAATTTGCAATTGTAACTATAAAAATTCATTACCGAAGACAAGAAGAAATAAAAAAGAAGATTTCAAATTATAATTCATACTTATTTCATACTTAAGCACAGGTCAATGACATATATAGTTTAAATAGACTGCTTATCCATACGTAAATAAAACGATGAAAAGTGGGTCGAACTGGGAGATGTTTTCTCTTTGTCTAGTGCATGCAATATTTGTGTTTTGTCTCAATTTTGAGTGCTCACTGGTAAACAAACCTTTCACAGGACCGGTTTTAAAGAAAGTTTAGTCTAGTTGAGATTTTGTTCTCATTGTCATTACTCAGTCGGACATTTTGTTGAGTTGTTTATTTTATTTAGTTTTAATTATACTTATGTTCTGTTTTAAGGTTTTTAATTATTTGAGTATAAAAACTTGTTTTGTTTTTAAATTTAAATGGTGAATTGCTTTATAAAGGTTTGTAAGACCAGCTACAGAAATATAAAAAGTAACATTTTATTTTTCACGCAAGTATCAATACAAGTAGGTACAAGGTAAATAGGTTTATAATAATTTTACGAATTATAATTAATTATAATAATAATATTAATAATAATAAAGTATTTATTGTAAATACAATTACATAAATATTATTATATTCAAAGGCCCGAGTTAGAGCTATCTGGGCTTTACAAGTACATTTTAAAAGTTAGTTAGATACAGAGAAGTATCGTATAATAAAAACTCAATATAAATAGAAGAAAAACGGACATAAGTACCAATACAGAGAGACAAACACTTTTATTCTTTGATAGGTTCTTTCTATGTGAATTCTAGCTCTGGCAATTTTGGCATTAAGTAAAGCCTCTTGATGGCTGAACTGATTTTTTTGATTGAGGAAAGGAGGCTGTAATATTTGTATACCTTCAGCTTCTGTTATGTTTCCAATAAGAAAACCTTTGTTAAACATTTTACTATCGAGAAATGATTCACACACTTCAAGTATTGAACTTTGTTAAAAAATGTCTATTTCTGAAGTTTACCACCATATGCTTCACTTTTGTAAGTAATGAGACCAGTAGGTGACACTCCAGTCAATATTTTAATAGTATGCCTCTATTTGTAGTCAGAGTAATTTTTTAACCTACAACAAAGACATTTGGCTTGCTGTATTGGAATTTCGGTACAATCAAGTAGTAGTACTCTTACTTACATAGAGGCACATTATTTAATATTTCTTGTTTTGAAGGCCGAATTATACCATACTAAGAAATTCTACCAGTTTTATTAAAAACTGTTAAAAAATTTAACGATAAAAAGTTTCATTCACTCCAAATAAAATGAATAAAACATTATATCTTGCATATCAGTTTTCAACTCCATAAAAGTAAATATAACTTGATCCTGTACAGACATAACTGATCTCCTTTTTCCTATTCTTTAGAAACAACTGTGCTACTAATTCTACAATGGTGGCTAATAACTGGAAGGATTGCAATCCTATTAAAGTAGATAGTTCTTTAGCACTAACAATTCTGTTTGAAAACGGATCAACTAAATCACCACTCTTCACTTGTGTTGAACAATCGATCCCAATTTTCTGCTTTTAAACAAAGTTTTGTAAATTAAGCAAAGCTATTCAGCAGCAAACAAATCTTCATTATCTGCTTCAGTAGTAGATATATGTTCATTAACTGCAAAAACACATTAAACATAATAATAATAATTAACCAAACATTTTAAATTATGCATACGTACATCCATTGCCTGAAGAAGATAACTCAACACTTAACATTCTACTAGTACTGGCAACATATCATTATTAAAGACAGTAGCCATAATTCTTGTTTTAGCTGGATTACTTTTCTTTTTATTAATAGTCGCTTTTTTTACCACTAATCTGAGCTAACTTACATCGACTAATCTTAGTTGTACGTTCTTTTTGTGATTGTAAGTCAGAATCTTTATTTCCCTTTACCCATGCTAAGGTACATGGATCTTGACGTCAACTAAGATTGCACTTTGTACCTAGTCCATTTTACTATGATGTTGATCAGATTTCCACTGGTGGAATTTTATTATTATTCATCAAATCATTCACATTCACCGCCAAAATAATCCTTAATTGTCTAAATGGACAAACTTTAGAATGTGAAAAAGCTACTAACTTTAAATCTTTAAAAAGTTTATTAAATTTTTGCATAATATCTGCTTTTATAATGCGAAATAAATTTTAAAAGAATAATCAAGTGTCCGAATAGTGCCACTATACAGTAGTCATGGTCTAAAGTTAGTTATATACACATGAGTGTAAAATTGTTTATATCTATGTTCAAAATTGATAGGATCTCTTAAAATGTTTTGAAAATTGGGAAACTAGACGTTACGAGTCAAAATCCTTTTTTAAAATACCTAACGCAAGCTTCTGTCTTGAAATAAATATACAGATATTTTTTTTTTTTAATTCAATTCCTGCTTTGATGTAATATGTTTTAAACTCATTTGGGCCAGACCGATTCTGCCTGGTGAGCACTCGGCAAGCCAAGCAATATGACCCGCTTTTCGTCGTCTTGTTTATATATGGATGAGCAGTTTATTCACATATTTTGATTACTATACGAGGCAAGAGAGAGGTCCGACACGCCCAACATAGGGCGCGGCCATTTTGAACCCTATGACACAGTTTACAGCTAAAGAATCAGATCGCTCACTCTGCGTCGGCACTTTGGATCTCAATGTTTCAGTTTATACACTGTGCAACTCGGATAATACAATATATGACAACCGCCTATAATAAAACAGCAGTCCTCTGCGTATCCTGAATTTGTATCCTTGGAGTGGATGTTAATTTGGAACTTTCAACTGGTCCGAGTGAGCTAACTGATTCTTTAGCAATAAACTGTGACTTCAAAAATAATATTCACTGACACTGACAGCAGCAAGCAAAATATCAGGTGCGTTTTAATCATCCGCTTCTGCTTCCGGAATTGTCGGTTTAGTCGTTTTAACCTGTCAGATTAAAACGCACCTATTAAAAATATTGCGCCAAGATGTAGGCACCACGTAATTAAGGTTCAAAATGGCGGAGTTTTCTATCTCCTTTTAAAAGGCACTCAGAAAGCTGCGAAGTGCGACCATTCTCCGTATAGTAAAAGAAAATCAAAGTATGTGGTTAGCTCACTCGGACCAGTTGAAAGTTCCAAAATAACATCTACTCCAGGGATACAAATTCAGGATACGCAGAAGACTGCTGTTTTATTATAGGCGGTTGTCATATATTGTATTATCCGAGTTGCACAGTGTATAAACTGAAACATTGAGATCCAAAGTGACGACGCAGAGTGAGCGATCTGATTCTTTAGCTGTAAACTGTGTCACAGGGTTCTTGGTTCAAAATGGCCGCGCCCTATGTTGGGCGTGTCGGACCTCTCTCTTGCCTCGTATAGTAATCAAAGTATGTGATCGTCCTCCAATGATCTTTCCATGAGGTTATCCTACTATAATATCCTCATACAACGGTAAGACTATGTGGTGTTTGCAATGTCGCCACAAATATGTATTTAAAAAAAAATCAGAATTAGTTATCCGACCGCATGTGATTTACATGTCTTTTCCAAATGTTACCACCATTAAGTTTAACCAGATAAAATGTAATTGAATAAAACTTCCATTTTTCTTCAAGGATAAATTTAATATATTTAAAGTTTTTTTGCTGTTTGGACACACCTTTCAACTAACCCGTTGGTTTGCAGATGATACCAGATCCATCAAATTATATTTACTGACATTTAACCTAAGAACCCTGTATACTCATCACATACTTTGATTACTATACGGGACAAGAGAGAGGTCCGACACGCCCAACATAGGGCGCGGCCATTTTGAACCCTATGACACAGTTTATAGCTAAAGAATCAGATCGCTCACTCTGCGTCGACACTTTTTATCTTAATGTTCCAGTTTATACACTGCGCAACTCAGATAATACAATATATGACAACAGCCCATAATAAAACAGCAGTCTTCTGATTATCCTGAATTTGTATCCCTGGAGTGGATGTTATTTTGGAACTTTCAATTGGTCCGAGTGAGCTAACTGATTCTTTAGCAATAAACTGTGATTCCAAAAATAATATTCACTGACACTGACAGCAGCAAGCAGAATATCAGGTGCGTTTTAATCATACACTTCTGCTTCCGGAATTGTCGGTTCAGTCGTTCTAACCTGTCAGATTAAAACAAGAAAACCGACAATTCCGAAGCAGAAGCGGATGATTAAAACTATGGAGAGTAGAGAAAAGGAGGACAATCTTATATGGATCTTTATATTAAAAAGTGGCCATCAAAATGTATACAATTAAGATGGCGCTCGTGTAGCCAGGGGACAAAATCCAATGCTATATAGTCATATAGATTGCTCATTCATAATGAAATCAGAGAGGAAGCAGTAAATTGAGACCTCCGTGCCATTTTAATATAAGAATTATTTATTGTTTATATTATTATTTTTCAATAAAATTTGACTATTGTCGTGTATTGTCAAAATTTATCTACGATCACAGAACACTTACTCTTCTACGATCAGTCACTTTTCACGGTGTAGTTTTTAGTTTTTTATGGTTGAGCAATATTTATTACTATATACATCATTGGTGTCATTGTGTGATCTGAATTATCGACTGTCGACGTCCCCTGGGCACAGAAGCGCCATTTTAATTGTATACATTTTGAGGGACACTTTTTGTATACAGAGATTGTTCTCCTTTCCTCTACCCTCCATAATTAAAACGCACCTATTAAAAATATTGCGCCTAAATGTAGGCAACACGTAATAAGGGTTCAAAATGGTAGTTTTTTATCTCCTTTTAAAAGGCACTCAGAAAGCTGCGCAGTCCGACCATTCTCCGTATAGTAAAAGAAAATCAAAGTATGTGATACTCATAAAATATCCATAACATTGTAATACTTACGTTCAACCCAAGTTCCGGGACACTGTAATTGGCATACTGATTGATAATACACTGAGCTTTTTCGTTGAAACGTTTTTTCGTTGTTTCCTGCCACCAGTCGACCAGATTACTATTTTTGTCGAACTGTCTACCTTCATCATCGAAGCCGTGGGTGAGTTCGTGCCCAATGACAAAACCGATACCTCCATAATTCATGTAACGAGGTCTGTCAGCGTTGAAGAAAGCACCCTGTAGAATACCAACTGGAAATTCTAAAAATTAAACAGAAAATTCTTAAAAAATAAAGAAAAAGGGGACACCTAATGGCTAATTCATAGAAACAACGAGCACCATTTCCCTTCGCTAATACCCCAACAGGCATTTCATTATATCAAAAGGTAAATGGCAAAGACATAAATAATTTTCTACATTATAACCACAGGATAAAGAACAATACAGAAAAGAAACAGGGCTAAAACAGGAACCCAGCAACCGAAGCCACACCTTTTTTATGCGGCGGGCGTAATTTCGGCCGGTAATCCCCTCGCCTACCTGCCAAAAGCAAAGTGCCCATCTAATGGCATAGGTAATTTCGGCCGAGGGTAATGTTTATGATAGGATTTTGGAATATATCTGAAAATAATAATCTACCCTTTTCATATTTCCATTTCTTAGAAAAGTTAAAACATTTACATTCATCTTTCTTAATTTGATTTTCATTAGTTTAACAATGTGATTACCTAATTACAAAGTACCGGACCTTTTAATATTAAGATACTAACCACTTATTTTGTGGGCGACCAAGAGATAGAAAACATCTATATTACATGATGGCAGTTTCGATAGTAAAGAGTTCACGCGGTTGTGACTTGCTTATTGTAGAAAAATATTCATTTTGTAAACAATACGTATTAAAGAGTGGGGAAGTGCGTTGGAGGTGCATCAGGAAAAATTTTAAATGTTTAGCTAAATTGTATACTGTTGGTGCCGAATATATTGTGACCAGGAGTGAGTTAACTCACAATCATGAACCAGATCAACGTTCTTTGCAGAGAAAAATTGTCACAAATGCATGCAAGCGAAAAGCTCAGGAGGACATATCGGAGAAACCTTCGAAAATTATAAAAAGGGTCCTCTCAACAAATTTACTGGACGAATTGATTTCCGCGGATGTAAATCTCACAAGAAGAAATGTGTATAACAGTCGTCGTCAGCTCTTGCCAGCCCTGCCTAAAGATATAGTAATAATAATAATAATAATAATAATAATAATAATAATAATAATAATTAATAATAATAATAATAATAATAATAATAATAATAATAATAATAATAATAATAATAATAATAATAATAATAATAATAATAATAATAATAATAATAATAATAATAATAATAATAATAATAATAATAATAATAATAATAATAATAATAATAATAATAATAATAATAATAATAATAATAATAATAATAATAATAATAATAATAATAATAATAATAATAATAATAATAATAATAATAATAATAATAATAATAATAATAATAATAATAATAATAATAATAATAATAATAATAATAATAATAATAATAATAATAATAATAATAATAATAATAATAATAATAATAATAATAATAATAATAATAATAATAATAATAATAATAATAATAATAATAATAATAATAATAATAATAATAATAATAATAATAATAATAATAATAATAATAATAATAATAATAATAATAATAATAATAATAATAATAATAATAATAATAATAATAATAATAATAATAATAATAATAATAATAATAATAATAATAATAATAATAATAATAATAATAATAATAATAATAATAATAATAATAATAATAATAATAATAATAATAATAATAATAATAATAATAATAATAATAATAATAATAATAATAATAATAATAATAATAATAATAATAATAATAATAATAATAATAATAATAATAATAATAATAATAATAATAATAATAATAATAATAATAATAATAATAATAATAATAATAATAATAATAATAATAATAATAATAATAATAATAATAATAATAATAATAATAATAATAATAATAATAATAATAATAATAATAATAATAATAATAATAATAATAATAAATAATAATAATAATAATAATAATAATAATAATAATAATAATAATAATAGGGGTGGGTTGGCTCAGTGGTTAGAGTCATGACTCTGAGATCAGAAGGTCTCAGGATCGAATCCCACCGGTGGCAGGAATTTTTATTTAATTTAAAAAAATTAAATATTAATTCTAATGCATAGGTAGGATTCCCCACTCGACCATTCACTGTTGGGTTCTAATTAACAGTGCTGTTCCTAAAGTGGCGCTGGGAAACAGTAACAAAGCCTACACAGAACACGAGGCTAATGGCCGTAGTAATCGACGCCGATGACACCAAATTAAAAAAAAAAAAAAAAAAAAAAAAATAATAATAATAATAATAATAATAATAATAATAATAATAATAATAATAATAATAATAATAATAATAATAATAATAATAATAATAATAATAATAATAATAATAATAATAATAATAATAATAATAATAATAATAATAATAATAATAATAATAATAATAATAATAATAATAATAATAATAATAATAATAATAATAATAATAATAATTAATAATAATAATAATAATAATAATAATAATTTTATTTCCCAAATTCTACAATTTACATACAATTTTTTTTATACATATCTTTTCCAAATGAAGATGGAAAATAAATATCTCCACTGAAGTCTTACGACTACGTGGGAAAAAACTATATTTTCCTTCTCTTTTAAAAGAAAAGTTAATTATTACAATTTAATAGATTATATTCCTAAAAACTAAAAATATATACAGGGTGTTATTGAAATACACGTACATATTAAAACTGGGTATTGCGCAGATCCCCACTGAATGTAGAAAAATATTATTTTTTAAAAATACCCCTTATTAAGGGAGTTATTAATTTTTGAAAATTAATTCTAAAACAAACGTACTTCACTGATATGTTGAGGATGACCTATATAAATTAGGTTTATTTACCTATTTTAAACATCAACAGTAATTAATATGCAAGTTTTTGTCAGATGATAAGAAAACTAGTCTTGTAAGAAATAATCATGTTGCCAAGATTTTCGAATTAATTTCTATTTCCGAAGACTGGTTTTTACTACCCTCGTTATCAAAAAACTAGAATATTTGATAAATTATTGTTTTTAAACTATACATTTTTGAAACTATAGATTATTAAAATTTTAGTTGATTTACGAATCTGGCTAACACGAGCGCGTCATTTCCAAGTTGGTAAAAAGTGTTGTTACGATTACTTTTAAATATTTTTTTACGATACCACTATTTACGAATATTGAACTAACGGATATAGTGCTGGTTTATGGGGCAGCTGGAGAAAATTCTCGGCAAGCACAAATCCTGTATCGCTAACGGTTTCCAAATCGGAGAATTCCGAACTGTCGTACGTTTATTTCAACTGTTCAGCATCTAAGAGACCATGGAAAATTTGAGAGTGTCAATGCAGATCGAGGGAGAACAAGAACACAAAGAACATTGGCGGCCGAAGAAGAAATATTGGAAGCTGTTGAAAACCGGCCTCAATTAAGTTGTAGAAGACTAGGTCTTGAAATTGGAGTGTCCTCATTTGTTGTGTGGCGGACACTTAAAGAACAAGGTTTACATCCTTATCACATCCAAAAAGTCCAGGCCTTATATCCAGGTGATGAAGAAAAGAGAGTGGAGTTTTGTGAATGGATGATTCAAAAATGTGTTGATATTCCTGATTTTCTAAAAATATTATTGTATACTGACGAGGCTTCATTCACTCGTGATGGCGTGTTCAATATGCACAATACGCATATTTGGAGTGATGAAAATCCTCACGCCATTAGGGAAACTGGGCATCAAAGAAAATTTTCAATAAATGTTTGGGCTGGCATAATAGATCAGTATTTAATCGGGCCTTATGTTCTCCCGAATAGATTAAATGGGCCAGGATATCTCCACTTTTTAGAAGATATTTTGCCAGTACTCCTAGAAGAGATACCGTTATAATTAAGGCAACGGATGTGGTACCTACTATGGCGCTCCTCCTCACTTTGATTTAAACGTACGGCAGTTTTTGAACATTAGATTTCCTCAAAAGTGGATAGGCAGAAATGGACCTACTAAGTGGCCTTCGAGATCTCCGGACTTAAATCCATGCGATTTCTTTTTGTGGGGTCACATGAAACAACTGGTTTATAATGAACCTATTAATAGTGTTGAACCATTAACCAATAAAGTTAATGCGGTAGCCGAGGAACTACGACAAAATCCAAGACTAATTTCTAATGTTCAAAGTTCTTTGGAAAGACGATTGCAAGTGTGTGTAAATAATAATGGACGGCATTTTGAACAATTACTATAATAAACTTTATTTTGAATTAATTGGTTTTGCTACGGCAACAGTGCAATTTCTATGGGTAAGTTCAATTTCGATTTATTTTACTTCTTTAAATATGGAAACTAATAGGTCGGAAAAGGGGACTCTTCCCCAATATTTAAATTTTAGAATTTGAAGTTAAAATTGGTGCCAATCGTTTTTGGTCATTACATACTATTCCCCATTTTAATATGTACGTGTATTTCAATAAGACCCTGTATATATCTTTTTAAGCTTACCTAAATATGTACATACAAATAAATTAAATTAATTATTTAAGTAATTAGAAAAAGTGTGTGAACAAAAATATTGATGACAGGATTAATTTTCATTCAAATAAATATTTAAACTTTTTTCGCGGATAGTTTTTTAACCAAAACTTAACATTTTTACCAAAGCTTCTGGAATTTTTTATTTCTTTAATTTTTTCAGGCACAAAGCGATATATGTGAGGCGCCTATATATAACAAACTTTTTTGGGTTGCTGATTTGTAAACTTTTATTGTTTTTGTTTTCATTCTTAATTTATGCCGGGTGTTGTGTTCGTGTTGAATATCTAATAGTTCGCGTCTTTTTTTGTGTTGGTAACTACTTTTTGTAAATAAATTTGTCTAATGTCAAGTAATTTACTCTCTATAAAGAGAGAGGTTGTTGGATAATCATTGTTTCGATTATAGATTATTTTAATAAATTTTTTTTGCATAATTTCAAGATGTTTGATATGGTTATTATAAGCGCCTCCCCAAGCTGTAATTCCGTACTGGATATGTGAGTACACCAATGAATAA